CTTGACAGTAGTGATAGGCTCTTTAAAAACACGATCAAGGAGCGCAACATCAAAAACCAAACCTCCAAGAGTATTTGTCACCGACTCTTTAGTTGACGGCTTTAGAATACCGACAATATAACGACTCGAGCCGTCATCCCCTGTAACAAACCCCGCACGACCATCCGGGTGATGACAATAACGGCTAAGAGCCTGCAAAGTCATACATTTCCCACACATCCATTGACCAAAGGCCTTCAAAGTTTCTTCCACTGCCATAAATAAACCAACATCACTATAAAGAGCTTCGCGTAACACACTTTTACGGTCTTCAGTAGGTAAATGATGCCTTTTGATGTGTGAAATCATACGGCCAATCCCCTTACTTCCCACTTCACTGTTTGGGCAACAATGGAATCTTTTGAACGGGCACAGACAAATATCACTCGAACTTGTGGAAGAAGAAGCCATATAAGAGAACAAGCCTCGAGATATAGCTAAAACTATGAAACAATATTTAACAAGGAAGGGAAGGATATGGCACACCAACACAAATGTTGGTGTGCACAAGAAGCATCCAAACTAAGCAAACTACATTATCTTGAACAATAAAGTTGCAGCACGAGAAAAACTGGTTTAGGCATTTTATCAAACACTTGGTGGGCAACAAAATTGGCTTTTTAGAATTTCATCTTCTTCCATTGAAACATCAACCCAAAATCTCTAATTTAAAGAAGATAACCCTCAAAGAAAGCCTTACTTAATCCAACCAACAATTCATTTTCTCTGATTTTGTAATCAAATTCCGAAATCAAATATTCCCGATATTTGTTCTTGAAGCTCTAATATGCTTGGCACTTTCCTGTTCTTCACTTGACTATTGATAAATAATAACACAAAGGGTAAGCAAATAACCCATCACCTTAACATCCTTCAACCCACGCAAACACCATCCATCACCATTTAATCAACATCACAGAAGACGTCACCGTCTTCATCATCACGCATCCCAGTTCTCGTGTTTTTGCTGCTGCTGGAAGTATAAACGCAGAAGAGAAGGAGGAGGGTGCGATTGTACCCAAAAGAAACTGAGAGATTGTGAAGCTTGTATGAGGAAAAAAGTGAATTCTTGATCAA